CACTGGCAAGTCGCAAAGTGCTTTGAAAATCCTTACTTGCCGCTTGGATTTGAACAATGTGTGGCCCTACATGGTCTCAGCTTTGAAGCTGCCAAGGAAAAGCCACTGGTATTTGTAAAATACTAAATTCACTGACCTAAATGCCTGGACCCCTTTCCATGCTGAAACTGGATACTTGCCCACCATGGGCTACTTCAGGGTTCTCATGGACCTGTGCTAGGACAGGACTGAGACTCTGGGTTGGTTGTAAATTTAAGAACCCCCTTTTCAAGACCTACCTGGGAAAACATCCTGGATGCTGGCTGCCCCAACTGGGGCCCTTGTTGATACCCCATGGAAAGGGGTACAGGACAGGGAGAGGAACCCCCAAACCAGCCCACTCTAAATAGGTTCTGTCATCTGCAGCATCAAGACAAAACACAGAAGACCATTCATGGAAAGGAACTTTAATACAATACAGAAAAGACAAAGGCTGTAGTTTCTAAATCAAACACCCAAAGTTACCCAACCCCTTGTGTGTAAAAGTCCACCCGAAAGGGATTGGCCCACAGCAAGGCCTGAAAGCCCACCCCAAGTCTAAAGCACCTTCTGGTGGGGACCCACAGATATGAGGCAGAAATGGCCAGACAAGTCTGGGAGGAAAAGAGCAAAATCAAAATCAAGATAAATGCTACCATAGTCACCTCCCCACGGGTCTCTCACCCACGTCTGTTTCACCCAGGCCAGGACCAGGAAGCAAGAGACGCTTCTTCACATGTCTCTCTGCTCCATCTACCTCTCTCAGGTCACCTTCTGGCTCCCCATCCTGCTTCCTTCCTCTTTAGTCTCCTCTCCACATTCTGCTTCTCTCTGCTCAGCAACACTTTCCCTTGGGGGGGGGGGTGCAGGGAATATCGAACCTCCCCTTTTGGGGGGACCACCCTGGTACAGGGCCACTTGAAATGGAACTGTGGATGGGCTCTATATTTTCTGACACCCAACTTGTGATTCCTGCTAAAAGTTGCAAGATGGCGGAAGACTCTCTTGGGGAAAGTGACTTCTGTACCCACCTCCCTTGGAGGGGCACCCACCCCTTCTGGAGCTCCTCTGGAATGTCTCACCACCCTTGACTTGTTTCTTGCTTTCCAGTTAACATTTTGCAAGAATGGGCTGACAGTCTCACTCTCCTGCTGCACACAACTTAGCAGAGCAGTGTGGTCAGTCACTGACTGTAGCCACGTCCAGAAAAGGATTGATCTTTTCTGGACTGTTCCCTGGAGAAATAAGGGCAAGAGGCCTGAGGAGAGGGGTGGTGATATACATCCACTTTTTTCAAAATACTAAAAAATCAGGCCTTTATCCTGATCATTTCCTGAATACGATGTGTCTGATTAAGTTTGATACAAATGTTATTAGTCAATATGTTTTTGTCCCCCTGGCACACAACCCTTGCAGATCAAAGATAAGGAAAAATTGTAAAGTTAGGATTAGCGAATGAAATACTCATTTCGTAACAACGGAGAAAACAAACAAAACCCTGGCACCCACAGAGGAAAGGGGCAGGTGCATGATTTTACCGATCTTTATTTTTTGGGACTGCTCCTGGAAGCTTTCCCATTTCTGAAGAAAAAGCGCTCACGCACGCTGCGTTTACAAGCTGCTGGGACCAGGCATGGTATTCAGGACTGCAGAGCCCATACCACGTGACCGTGCAACTGTGAAATTGTGCGGCCAGTTCCTGTGGAGCATGCGCACTGGGCAAGGGATGAACCAGCGTCACAGATGGAGCCCTTTGGAACTGACCGCCACGGACAGTCCCTTGGAAAGCAAGAACGGGACCTGATCACTCAGACTGGGCTGAGAACCCTGCGCAGGAGCAAAGTGGACAGCTTGATGGGGGATCCCATGAGCATGTACTGCCTGCTCCTGCAGGCCCTGTTTTGGGGGCTTGGACATGGTAAACTCCTCAATCCCAGAGAACACCTGTGCCCTCAGGGACTGTACTTCTTGGATGTGAGTCCTGAGCAGAGTGTCCCTACTCAGGCCCTGGAAGGTGTCAGGTCAACCCCCTGTACCAAGCTATGCTGGGTCTAAATTGAAGCCTCTTATCAGGTTAAAAAAAAAAAAAACAAGACTTATAGAGAAACTTACAGAGAAAGCCACCTTTCCATGACACGCCTGTAGGGTTACAGAGATGGGCAGTAACTGTTGGAGCAAAGCCCAGGACCCTGCAGAGCATGAGCCAGCTCAATCCTGCACGCTGGCCTCAGCCCACTGTGTGGGGCCCTACTAAAGCGTGGACCTTGCAGGCAAGTTAACTGCAAACATCAGACTGCTATCCTTACATGACCTGCTTGCAAAGTTGACCCTTGGCTGACTTCTGGGAAGTTCGATTTGGGGAGCGTTCCTGCCCTTTCCTCGCTCAGAAGGGTAACCCACTGTAGGTGGACTGTGAAAATAGTAGGGTTTATGCTGAGTACCGACTTCCTTTCTGTGTTCTTGGAATTTGGGCATGTGCTAGATAGAATGTGCCTATGTGCCCAGCTCTCTGTAAAATGTGTCAACTCAGGGCCCTCCCTGGTGGTGCAGTGGGTTAAAGCACAGCACTAAGAAGCTAAAGCCACTTCAACATGAGTTCGATCCCCACCCCGGAGGTGACCCACATGGTGTGGCAGACCTCTCCTGACCCGCCCGCTGCTCCCCTCAGCAGTGTACTTCATCATCTGCCTGTTCTGCTCCCCACTCTGTCTCTGGTGAAGCCTCTCACCGCCCCTGCACCTCTGGCCTGTATCCTAATTCTGTATACCTCAATAAATAAATTTTTTAAAAAATGCATGAACTCAGTCTCAAAAGGCTTTCTTGGGCTGGAATGGGACTAAATTTTCATTGCTGGGGAAGGGTTTGCTCTGGGTGACCCCTCATGGGAAGGAGAGACCAGAAGGATGCTGGCTTGTGGATTCCTTCTGGTGTGCTTGTGACTTGTCCCATTAAAATCCAGCTGCATAGTCTTACCACACCTCTGGAATAAGTCTTAGCTCCGAGCCCCACTATGAAGTGAGGCCCACTATGTAGTAAGTCTCAAGAGACCTTCCAGCAAAACTCTGAAGGAGGCAGTATGCTGGTGTCCTCCAACAATCACCAGTGAAAACCGAATTTTTCTTTTCACACTATAGATGTTATGAATTATCTTGAAATTTCAAGTATATCCATCACGGCTTTGAAATTAAGGTAGCTAGTAGACGTGTCATCATAGTTTGCTATTTAATGTGTTACTGAAGAACCTAATGTATTACTGGAATCGGGGCCTTATAGTGTGGACAGTGGGGCAAGACCTGCTCTTTTCCCACACCACCGGCTGAGAGGGAGAGCTCACTGGCAGAGCGCCCCGCTCCCAGAGAGGTTGCAGCCAGTAGCGCCCCTCCCCCAGGCGCCAGTCAGCCATGTTTGTGCCGGAGCGCCGTAGTTCCCTGCAGGTTGGCTGGAGGGCTGCCCAGGGACGGGGGTCTCACAGAGCTGTTTATCTGACCCCCTTCTGCTGCCTTGCTGCCTGGGCCAGCATCCAGTCTATCTGTCCCGCCTGCAGACTGTGGCTTCTGGCAGCTGGCCGTCATCTCGGCAGCTCCGCTTATGTCCGCGTCCCGCTGCTTGCCAGTCGCTGTGCGCTCCAGGCCCTCGTCCGGCTGGGTGGAGCCATCTTGGAGGAGCGGCCTTTTGTTTGGGACTTCTGGACACTGTGGACTCTAGGGTGAGACAGCTGGTCACCTGTGACCTTAGGAACTCTGTTTCCCCTGTTTGTTGTATAAGCCCCGTTGTTGTTACCTGCTCCTGAGCGGCCGTGCCATTGTGCACGCAGGTGAGAACCCAGACGGTGGCCGGGTCTCTACTGGACACTGTCCTCGGATGGTTATAGCCCCTGCTATAACCCTGTTTCATTATGAGGCCACCTTTTGGAGTACTTTTAAAATTTAATAATAGTACCTTTGACATGATTCATTTTCTCTATAGTCCTGAAACTTTTTATTTGCTGCCCTCTTCCAAGAGCCGGATCTCAGATGTACACAGGATTTACTCTACTGCCGAAGGGGTCTGCACAGAAGAAAGTTTGACTCTCTGGGATGGGTTATTACCCTGGACTGGATGTATTCATCACTAATGGACAGTTTATTGTGCTTGTTACATACGTGAATGGACATGTAGTACTCTAAATTGCATCTGACAAGGAAGAATTAATTCTATAGATTACATGTATAAAAGGGAAGCAGGAACCAACCATAAAATCATTTTATGACTTCATGCCATGATTACTCACTGTGAGTTACACATGGTATATATGTAATGTGTGTATATATTGCACATTACATATGTATATTATATATGATAGAATGGATCTAAAGGGTGGGATAGAACTAGGACTTCGTAATGATACTGAGCTTTCTGGAACTCCATTTCATCCTCACGGGATGTACATTTCTTGTTAAACTTTGTGTAGAAAAACCTCAGAGTAAAACCAGAAATCCTTTCAAGTGCTTTAATCATCAAAGATTGTACTGCTTGGCGCAAAGACTTCCATACAGCTGAGAGATGTGGAAATGAAATTAACAGAGTGAACCCTAGCTGACACTGGCATGTCATTAAAATGAGCTACCCATAAAGATAATTTTTGTTTATGTTTGCCAAGGTTTTAATTTTTTTAAGCCTTACTTAAACTCTGATGAAACATTTTCCAACCAAGTTAATGGTTAACACCTTCACGTTTATTGTAACTTCATACTGCAAATTTGGTTTTAGCAGGTTACTGCAGAGTCCCTAAACTTGTGAAAATCACTCATTAGCATAGTACCTGCTCTTTCTTTAAAGGTCTACAGAGATATGTTTACTGCTGGCCATTGTTTTCCTTTACAACGGAACAGTACAGAACAGAGAATTTTGGAACTGTCTGCAGCTAAGGTTTCTTTTTAATTGAATACAAAACTACTCTGCATGTAAAAATAATATGAAAATTTATTTTACACTATGCACACTGTGCCTTGTCTTTCGTTCATGATGAACGGTACCTGTGAGGCACCTTTATAGCTTTGCACAGAGCATTTCCAGAATCATATCATCCATGCTGACCGTGCCAATGATGGGCCTGAAGAACAGTTCGGCAATGACATTGGCATTGATGAATCGCAGCAGGAAAAGGGCACTGTTCAGCTGGGCGAATCTGGTCTGGCTGCCCCTGTATGTCATCCTGATGTGCTCACTGAGTATCTGCTGCGTTCCCCACTGAAGTCCCTGAATGTACTTCACGCACTGCAGGCCTGGCAGGTCTGGAACAGAAGGGAGAAAACTCTGCTTCATTAACAGCTCATTCACACAGGCCTTTGCTAGCTTTTAACATATAGCCATTTATGCCCCATCCCGGTTTCCACAAGAGCTCAAACTTCCTGGTCGTCAGTGCTTTCCAGGGCAAGGATAAAATGCTGAACCAGTTCTAAGTTTGCAGAAGCAAAGCTTCCAAGAATGAACACCAGATAATTATTCAATAGTTTCACTCTGCTTGGATCCTCACCTCTAGAAATGACAGGTCCCCAGCCAACAAATGCACCCTTAAGTCACTGTGATACTAGAATGTCATTTAATGAATCATTGCTCCAGTTCACTATCTGGGCAAATATGAAGATAAGCATGATGAGAAGTTTTGTCAGATGGCAGATGTTTTATCATCCTCCCTCAAATTTCCCACCTTATAATGATCAGCTAGACGATGACTGTAAGCACAACCCCAAACTGTGACTGACTCTAGGGCCTTACTTTCATTAATTTGCCTACTGGCTAGAATCCCATAATAGTTTAGAGATAAAGTGGCCACTTGGCTCACTCTATCTTGACTTCTGCATTGGGGAAGGTAAAAATGACTAATGAACATTTTTTTGGAATCTTACAACAAGATCATTTTAAAGGGAGAAGTCTTTGAAAGCATCTTCTTACAGTCATTACAAGGTTAAAAAGTAACCCTGAAAACCTCATGGATTGCACATGGCTGAAAGTACTTTTTCTGATAGAAAACCCATGGCCTTCTTGCAGTACAGTGTGATACTGAATTAAAAGTGAGCTACACACATGTAGAAGAGATGATATGCTTGTGAGTTTCATAAAGAAGGTAGTAAGAAAACAGGAATATTACTGTCTTGATCTAAAGTTCTTTAATCTGTATTTGCGTGAATGCCAATTTACTGTTCTCTTTAAATAAGATCAATGGTTATTGCAATTATTTCCCCTCCCTTCTTCCTACAGATTTCAACAGGAAAGTATTTCAAAAGAATCATACTAATCATCACAGAGTAGCAGAATGAAGTAGTTTTTTTTTTTTAAAGTAATGGCTATAGGCAAGTCATTTCTATTATAGGCAGGCATCATCTATCAAATGAAAGGAGAAGCAAATAAAGCAGTACCTCTTGTTCCTATACCAGTTGGTTTCCCCAGTCTAAGCATTAACATCTTATTAGTAGCTTGAGATCCAACTGTACTGATGAGGGTAAGAAAAGGCACCCATGAAACTCCACCAGAAATCTGAAACTCCTCCAGGATTAACTCCCTAACATGTTAAAACTTCCTTCTGTGAAATGCCTATCACTTTTCTCTGCTTTCTTACCACACCCCTCCTTATCTACACCCCAATCCCAGTCACTTTGAAAATTCATCCTTACCTTAAACTCAGGGAAGAGAAGGCAGATACATAAACTCCACAGTGAGAAAGAAAAAGTTTCAACATAAAGATCAGGGAATACAAAAAGATAAACAACAAAGAGACCATGCTTTTAACATACAGTATTCCCCTAAGTGTGGTGCTTTTGTGTTGAAAAAGATTTGGAAAGGCGAATAAAGGAGAGGTGTGTGTTTGTGAGAAACATAGTATGCAAATAAGGTGATGGAAACGGGGTGACCAGTGGAAGGTAAACGTCTGGAAGCTGAGTTATCTCACCTTTGTATCCCAACAGAACCAGGCCCACAGTAGCTGCTTAATAGCTGTGTCTGAAGGAGTGAGAAAACACTTTTGCCTGAGAGGACTTACTAAGGAATACAGATTTGTAGACCCTGGACCAGAGCTTCTGAATCAGAGCATCTGGGTGTGGGCCTGGAAAGACTTTAAACAAGCCACCCCCCAGTGCTTCAAATGCATGGGCACCTTTGGAAGACAACGCTAAAAGCAAAAGCTGGCCCACAAGGATCACTGGGACAAGCTGAGGTCTCTACACTCAGAAATGTGAGTATAAATGCATGACTTTCTCACTAAACACTGTGCTAGCCCCTTGAAAAATGCTCAGCAGATGCCAGGGACTTAACTTGAGATTCCCCTGGTCAGGGGAAAAGGGTATGGATGGAGCATTAACAAAACAACCCCGACTCAAGCTGCCTGGAACATTCCTGCCCACTTGGGACTGTTTGAAAAGGTGCTGGTTGAAGATGACAAGTAGGAGAACAAGAGTTGACCGGGTACTGGGTTGTGCAGGGAGAGACAGTCGTCTGTGATCTGACTGCCTTGTGTGGGGCCCTAGTGTCCAGCACCCCGAAGAGAGTGTGGTGCAGCCGACTCCCCCTGGGGGACCCAGGCTCCATGACTCCTGGCCATTTGTGTTGCAATAAAGTCACTTGGCACTAGACTACTTGCACAGGGGTAACTGGACGTTCTCTTCAGTCTCGAAGGCATAGTGATCCTGCTTTCTGGCCCTAGTATCTAGCCCATACTCAGAGACTTAGAGGATGAAACAGGCCAGCTGCTTAGAGTCATAAAAATGACCACTCAACACTAAGTCTAGTATCCTGTCTGACAGTGTCCCCAGGAATGCTCTCGAGGTGGGTCCTTAACAAAGATTCATTTCTTGCCAGCCTCCAACCAAAAGGTTCTAGTAAATTTAAGAAATGGGTTTCAGGTAGATTTCAGAATTGGCAGTGAACACAAAGTTTTCGTTGTGTTTTTGTTTTTTTTTTTAAAGCAATGCCACTGGACTTAAAAGGCCAAAGGAGAAGTCACAAACTTTCCTGTACTAACAGAAAAGTGTGTAAACTTAACAAACTCCCCTGAGCCCACCATTGGCTGAGTTTGTGACAGCAGCCCGCCCATGCTGCCAGAAGCGTTTCTGGAGCACCCCACCTCTGCTGTCAGTGGCTCGACTTCACTTAGCCCCCCACACTCCCCTGACCACTGAAAATTCAGTACCTGAGCCCAGACTGGGCACGGTCCAGTGCTTTTCTGAGCCCCAGGCGGCGCCCCTTACCCGGGTTAAAGAGCACGGTCCCCTTGAGGTAGGCGTACTCCTTGGTACTGATGTCCAGACTCCAGCACTTGGCAAGGAAGCCTCGGATGGCTTGGACCTCGGCCGCCGACGGCAAACGGCCAGCCTCTGGTGGAGGTACCGAGTGTTGCGGCCGCGTGCATAGGGGCGGCGGCTCCTCTCCCGCCGTCTCCTGCCGCCTGGTGGTGAGGATCCTCTGCAGCAGGCTGGGCTCCGAGGTCTCCACCGTCTCAAAGTTCAAGCGGTCCTGAGCTAGCTCCAGCATGAGCAGCGGCGCCCAGCAGCCGCGCACCAGCACCAGTTGCTGGTCGAGGGGCAGCACTTGGAAGCAGGGCAAGTACTTGACGAAGCGCAGCGTCTTGAGCAGGCCCGCAGAAGCTGCCTCGCAGACCACCTGTGGACTCTTGAGGGTCACCCGGCGCTCCGCGCCGCACGGGGAGTCCAGCCAGGGGGCCCCCGATGGCACCTCCGGAGCTGCGCGCGTTTGCTTTGCGCTCCCGGGCAGGTGGTGGAGGATGCCGCCCCGCTGCGGGTGGTCGTCATCACAAAAGCTGCAGCGGTACGGGGGCGCCACGACCCGTGCGCCCAGCTGCTCCTCTCCGCACCCCCGCCTCTGCGCGCAGTGGGAGCGGCCCCACCACGAGCCCCCCAGCCGCGCCTCGGGTGCTTCCGGAGCCACGTGCGTTTGCTTGGCGCTGGTGAGCAAGCTGTAGAGGATGCTGCCCTGGCGCGGGTGGTCTTCGCCGCAAAAGCAGCAGCGGTACAGGAACGCCATGGCCCGGCCGCCCACCTCTGTGCCCAGCTCTCTGCCCACTCCGGGCTCCGAGCCGCACGAGCAGCCCCAGCACGAGCCCCCCACTCGCGTCTCGGGCGCCTCTCGGGGCGCCTGCATTCGCTTAGCGCTTGTGAGCATGTTGTAGAGGATGCTGCCCTGCCGCGGGTGGTCTTCACCGCAAAAGCAGCAGCGGTACAGGAGCGCCACTGCACGCCCCCCCGGCAGCCCCTCTCTGCCCACCGGGGGCTCCGAGCCGCAGGAGCAGCCCCAGCAGGGCCCCCCCGGGCGCGCCTCGGGCGCTTCCGGAGCGGCTAGTGTTTGCTTAGCGCTCATGAGCATGTTGTAGAGGATGCTGCCCTGCCACTGGTGGTCCTCGCCCGCCATGGCCGGCGGTGCCCGCAGCCCGGCTCTGTCCGGTGGCGGCCGCCCGGGATCTATTTATACTGAGCGTGCACGCACGCGCGTCGGCCGCCTCCGCCTGGGCGAGGGCGCGGCGCGGCGCTCCTGTGTTTGCCCGTGACCTCCGCGGTGCAGCCCGGGGACAGATGCCCCTTAAAGCCTGGGAAGGGAACTGGAACCGACGTGTGCGAGCTCCTGGACACGTCCCTCCTTGGTCGCGTTACACCTTTCTGGTCTCGGGAAGATGAGAGCAGAGTTCAGAGAGCAGGAATTTGGGGCACTGTTTCCAACTCTTTCCATGAACCCTGCCATTAATTTGCTCCCTGTGCTGGTGAGCAGGGGTGTCTGAAATGGGGGGGAAACCTATTTCTATGCCATGTTTGTAAACTTTCAATACAAGTTGAGTAGCCTATTTTGTATATGAATAAAGAGGTCTCATTTTCATGGGAGCTTGAAAATATAGTCCGTGAACCAGCATCAAAAAGGGACTTGATAGAACTACCCAGTCAGGCAGCACCCAGAACTCAGACTGTAAATCTGCATTTTAATCAGAGTAGGGAATGTATATGCACCCTAAAATTTGCATATCTGCTCTATGGATGCTATCTTCAGTGTTGTGTTGAGTTCAATTAATATGTACGCGAGTGCCCACTTTATCCTGGAACATGTTAGCGGTCACGACAGCAACCAGGATGTAGAAGTGGCTAATAGCAGGAATGTAGTGATTATAGAAACTAAAAGTTTGCTACAATTGGAATTTGGACTCTTCTAGAGGTATCACGTTGGGTAAATGTGTCATCAGCATGTCTTCTCCCATTTTTCCTGGGAGAAAGGTGAGCAATATACAGGTTTCAGGCAGTCTCGCTCGTTTGATCCTCACCTGGCACACAACCCCCTTCCTTGCGTCCCACACAGGCTTTAACATCAGTGTCTTCACATTACTGCTGCTGTGTAACTAGCAGATTGTTTTACCAGGCAGCGCGATAAGTTCAAAACAACCCTTTAGTCATCTCCAAATTGAGGTATTTAGTGATCTCTTGGGTCCACGGCTGAAGAGGTGAAGCACCAAAGGGAATTGGGATTGGCTTATGTTAACTGGTACAGGGGCCCTTTCTCCCTTGTTTTTAGTTTCTCTGGAACCCAGAGCTCTTAGCATAAAAGGAAAATCTTGGATACACTTCTTCTGCGTTTTAATTTTTATTCGGCCTGTAAAAGACGCTATAATACAGTACTTAAATCTCTGGATCTGGCACCAAATTATTTCAATTTTAAACCTGACTTTGATACTTGGTCCCTCTTTGGCCTTAGGAGGTGAATTAATTTCCTTTTGCTGGCTTAAGTCAAGACAAACTTATTATATTACTGTTTTGGAGGTCAGAAATCCGAAATCATATTCATTGAGCTAAAATCAAGGTAACATTCCTTTGTGACGCTCTAGGGGACAGTCTAGTTCCTTGTTTTTTCCAATGTTTAGGAGCTGCCTGCATTCCTTGGCTGCTGGCCACACTGCTCTGACTCCTCTTCTGACAATCTTTGTGATGACAAAACCTTATAATCCAGAGTAATTTTCCCATCTCAGCATTCTTAGTTAAATTGCATTTGCAAAATCCCTTACCTTTTAATGTAGCAAATTTACAGGTTGTGTGATTAGGACATTGATATCATTGGGGGATTGGCATTTTTCAGTCTTCCATGGCAAAGATAATTAAACCAGCTATGTCTCAGTTTCTGCATTTGTACAATGTGGATAATAGTTTCTGTGAGGTGATCTTCATGCATGAGTTAATTCATGTAACATGCTTGGCACACAAGTATTGGGTGTATCAACCATTATTTCTTCTCCTTTTTTAAAAAAAAGATAACATGAGATAACTTTAGGGTTAGGCAGTGACACTATACCGGCACTACCTTTATTTAGGCTGCCACATTCTTTATCTACATGTCACATTTCTTTTTTAAAAAAAGATTTATTTATTTATGCATAGAGAACTGGGGTACAAGCCAGAGGTGCAAGGGCGGTGAGAGGCTTCACCAGAGACAGTGGGGAGCAGAACAGGCAGATCAAAAAAGTACACTGCTGAGGGGAGCAGCGGGCGGGCCAGGAGAGGTCTGCCGCACATTGTGGATCATGTCCAGGGCTGGGGATTGAACTTGCATCAAAGTGGCTGGGACTAGATTGCAGTGCTATGTCCTTACCCGCTGTGCAGCCAGGGAGGGCCTCGCATGTCACATTTCTTATCCTAGGCTCCAAACACCGAATGGGTCACCTGGTCTATAACAATAAGATATATTGGAAATTTTATCTCATTGTCCATTTCACCATTTGCCATTTCAGTATTCAAGCTACTATTTTGAGAATTATTATTGCTGCTTCAGCAATCTTCCTGCTTAAAGAACCTACCACCCAGCCTAGCTGAAAAACCCAGCCTAACTCAGTCCCCGCTTAAGCTACCAGCGCTAAATTCAATTATACTACCTCACTTTATTTTCTTCCTAACACTTATCAGAACCTGATAGGTTATATTTAGTTAGTTGATACTTACTGCCCACCCTCATAGTATAAGTCCCTTGGCCGTCAGGAAATTGTTACTATATCCCAATAACTAGGACAATAGTCTGTCACAGAGAACACACTTAAAAATATACTTTGTGGGCCCTCCCTGGTGGTGCAGCGGGTTAAAGCACTGCACTGAGAAGTTTAAGCCACTTCGCATGAGTTCGATCCCTGCCTGCCCCAGAGGAGATCCACATGGTGTGGCAGACCTCTCCTGACCCGCCTGCTGCTCCCTTCAGCAGTGTACTTCGTCGATCTGCCTGTTCTGCTCCCCACTCTGTCCCTGGTGAATCCTCTCACCCTCCGCATCTCTGGCCTGTACCCCAGTTCTATATGAATAAATAAATAAACCTTATATATATATACATACATATATACATATATATATACATATATATACATATATATATATGTATATACACACACTTTGTGACCAACTGTACCTTTGGAGAAAGAGAAGAAGGCTGTGGCTTCTCAAGACAAGCATTCCTGCACAACTATTGCTGTCCTGACCCTGGAGGGACGAGAAACGGGTAGCTTCCATTAGATTCAGAACTTTCTGTAGGCCTTTTCTGATATTTAGCATGCTACAGACACTGTGTTAAAATGCCAGAAGAACTGATGGAACAGTTAAAAGACATGGCTTTGACTTTGGGCTCTTCTGTTCTAAAAATATAACATGGAACAAGTTACTTAGCCTCACCTCCTTAACTGTGAAATGGGGGAAATTCTGTGTGCCAATATTAGTATGTTCTAAGTCCTTCCAGGGACTCAAACAGCTCTTTATAGAGCTGTTTATAGAAATATTTGCCGACCTCTTTGCCTCATAGAAAATATAAAGCAACTTGGGTTTACATGCATTCACTTTCTAATGATTTGGCATTGAGCATATAACACTATATTAGCCTTTTCATCTTTGCAGCCAGAAAAAAATTTATAAGCTATTTCCATATATACATCCTTACCCTATTACTTCAAATATTTTTCTATATTTTTAGCCTCCTCAACTCTGTGTGTGTGTAGCTGTCACAGTGATCTGAGGTTACAGAACAACTCAATTCTGAATATTCTGAATGTTTAAATGCTGGTAACTTAAATGCATTTAAAAAAATTTTAATCACTCATACCTGGCACGTATTTGATGCCTTTGCCTTTCAGGCATTGCCAAACTGAAATTTCAGTGCAGTGCTGAGAATCATAAACTTGTAATACATTGGTTATAATTCCTATTCTGTCCCAGGAGCAGAGTCTTCTCATTTTCTTACTTGTATTTTTCTTGAAGTTACCATCCATTTGCAACTCTTGAAGGACTTCCTATGTTCTTTGGACTGACTGTTTCTAGGAAGAGATTGCCTGCTTGTCCTTCAAAATTATTCACCCTTGGAAATGGCAGGCAAAAACTGACTTCATTTTTCCACTTTGCATTACCCCCACCCTCCGGAGCAAATAGTGCCTGCAAAAGAAAATCATCTAGACATACCAGTGCAGGGACTCGCACCACGTAATGCCAGCCTGCTGGCTGCTGAGGATTAGTGAAGACATAACCTTCTCAGGCAGGCGTCTTCATTTGACTTGTTCTGTAACCTCAGATCACAGTGACAGCTAGACAAAAGGACACTCATCAGGTGCACCTGTCATGTACTGAGTTTGTCCACAACTTCAATTTGGATATTTACACTGAGTCATTGTTCCATGACCTTGATCAATTGGAGACCTGCGCTGCAGAATCCATTATCTTTCCAACTCAGGGTGGGAGGAAAGCTGCTCTGCCTGTCTGAGTGCAACCTTCAACTTCAAAGTCATGCAGTTTTCACTAAAGGATGTAGGAGTGAAGTGCAGGTGGGGATGAAGTAGGGTAAAATTGTAAAGGTGACCTTTGCCTGGCGAGCTGTTCTTGACCTGAGAAGGCACAGAGATTGGAAACCTGATTTGCATTTTCATTGTGGGTATAAGAAGGCTGGAATTCCTGTTCCAGTTCCTTCAGTTAACAGGTGGCAGAGGGTAACAATAGCGCCTCCTTACTTTTCAAGGTAAATATTGGGTAAACACTGTGGTAGAATAGTGGCTGATTAAAGCCAAAACATAGCCTCCTTCCTTTACCTTTCCAAGACCCGGGCTTTTAAAAATTCTGTTTATGGGAAAATCAATAGGCTTTAGACTCATGAAACCCATAATGAATATCCAGTCATCATTATTTACTGCCATCTGATGAGCTACAAAGAAGTTAGCATTCCCCTGCTTCCCGGGTCACCTGAGCTGGAATAATGATGATTGAAATCATAGTAATTCTGAAATGTTCTAATACCAACTTTCCAAATCAGTTAGATAAGCATTCTGTTCAAGGAAAAATATTCATCAAATCAATTTATTTTACTTATCTATCAATTTCAAATCTAGCCAAATACCAAATGTTGATTTACATTCTCTAATT